GGCAATATGCTGACTCTGTAAACCGCTTAGAGAGGGCTGAAAGCCCTATGAAGCGGTATATAAGTCTACTGCTACTGCTATTCTTAAAAATACTAGAAAAAAAGGCAAAGACAGTGATTATCAGAGAAGAGAATAAATGGTAAGGAGTAATTCAGAGTTACATACAACTTAGAAACAAGTTCTCTTTGTTCAAACTGCTGTCTTCTACAGTTCCCAGAAAATAAAGCAAAATAGTAATAACTGTTATGATCAAGCGTGAATCTTTTCTTACACTAAATCAATTATTGGGTTTTTTTCCTAATAAGATATGCAGGCAAGATGTGATATAGCAATGTTTATAACCAACATGATAAATTACTTACTTACTTGGAAATGTTTACCTTCTCCTATTGAGAGCACCCTAAGGATGATTGCTCTAAAAACATTTTAAAATAAATAGATTAATTTACAAATAGAAAATTCGGGAGGGGGGGGGAAAGATGAATGCTGGCTTTCCACTGCCAGATACAACTATTTTAATCTGAACAAATTTATCCCGGAGTAGTTAATAGAATGGCAAAAAGAAAGCTAAAAAAAAAAAAAAGAAAAAGAAAGTCGGCATTTAGAAATTCTAATATATTAAAAATGATTTTAACATTTTTGTATTATATAGCAGAATCCTTAAAACTTAACTTTTTATACAATTATTAGTATGAATCAAATGAATAAACATAACTTTAATGAGGCTAAAACAGTCATTGCAACCTCAAAAACATACATATTCAGAATTTAGTGTTGTACAAATATTAACAAAGTTAATTAACAATAGAAGTATACATACCATAAATAATGTGCAAGAAAAATGCCTGCAAATATATATATATTCTTGTCAAAAAATGCAAGAGAAATTTTAACACTTTTGACAGACAGGTAATAAAGAGAATTTTTGAGCAAGTAGCATAGAACAGTAAACCACTATTTCAAATTAAATATGAATTCATTGCATTGCATTGTGTAAGAATGATATTGGTTATCTAACATGTGTGAAGTATGGACAGTTCTTGATTAGTTCTAAATATTGAAAATACCTTCAAGGATAATATATGCCTCTTTGACAAGAAGTCATTGATAGAGTTAATTTGACACAGCTAAGAATTCAAACTAAACTTTGTCTGCTGACTCAAAAACAAAGGCAATGATAACTAGACTTTATATGACATTCTTAGCAGTATTCAAAGAATATCACATAACATTTTCTATTGCATTAACTACATTTTATAATCCGAAAAGAGCAGCTTTTCATTGGTAAAAAATTTAATAAGTAAAGCAATTTAATCAAATATTGTACATATAAGTGTGAATACTAAAATCATCTCTAGACAATAAGAATGTCCATTTCTGCCCAACTTTTAATTGGTTGTAAATCAATACACTTAATACCAATCAAGAGGTCAATTCTAAAAATCCTCCTTGCAATTAACAAGTAAAAATAAAATAAATGGACAGTGGTAGTTTAAAAGTAAAAAAATAAAATAAAATCCATATTTCGCAACAAACAATTATAATTACAGAGAATTACTGGAAACCTTGAGGAAGGACCCTGCCAAAAAGTATAGATCCAATTTACAACACACATAAATAATTATAAAACTTTTGCTTCTTATACAATGAATTTAGTCTTATTATTATAAGTTAGCTGTAAAGGAAGAAGACAATGTCCTTCTATACAACAGAGACAAGTGTGCAACACGAACAAAATAAGTTAACAAAATGTTTACACATAGAAGAGATAATGACTTTATAAAGTCATATCAGTATATTATACCGGAGTAATTATTATTGTGTTAAATTTTCAATTCCAGGACATGAAAAGATTCTAGTATTCCTCGTTTAAATTTTTAAAGTTGATTACTGATAGTAATCTGATATTATGTTTTTACACTAAATTTGAACCATAGTTCAGGATTGTTATAATAACCTTTTAATTTTATGCCAAGCACCTATGGAATGAAGAGGAAAGGATGCCGAATGTTTCACTATAAGTAAATATAAGATTTATAATAATTCTATTAGGTCTGGATTAGACTGTGACCTTAAATAGGATATATTTACTTACATTAGCTCATCAATCATTGCATGATGGGGATGCTCACTGAAGTCTATTGGATTATATGGCCTAAGGATTTGAGGAATAATGCCACCAATGATGAAATTACCTGACTGATAATATTTGTGTAGAATAGGAATTGGTTCAACTACAGTGCAGCTCTCTGCATGTGCTTTGCATATTGTATGAGGCAGAAACACTAAAATCATCATCTTTTTTGCAAATATTCCAACATTTGCATGGATAGGCATTACTGATAATTCCTGAATATAGTTAATTGTCTGAAAGAACAAATTACTTCTAAGAGAAAGTATTTTGTTAAGGTAGAGCTCTACTTGACAGGTATATAATAATATTTACAACTCAGAATAATGCAAGGGTTATATATAGAAATTTTTTCAGTAGTCTAAATGTTAGAGCTCTACAGGGATTTGGCAAGAACTGAATTAATCATAATCATTCCACGTGATAAATACAGGAGGAAATAACTGCTAATCAGTTAATGAGGTTTCTACAAAACTTCTACTCAGCAACAGGTTTATTACATTTGGCTCCAAAATTTTTGAACATTGGAATTTGAATAGATGTTTGTTACGTTGAAGTAAGGCAGATTCAGCAGTGAAATGAGAATAGATATAGTTATATAATACACATACATCCAATATTTCAATTGATAATTAATTTAAACAGTCAAATTGTCATATTAAGAGTGTTGGTTAAGTTCAGCTCTTCCTGCTAGCCATAATTTGCAAAACATCCCACACTTTTATACTATATAGTCAATTATAGCTTCATAGTTATAGGCTACTTTCACATAGTGATTTATATTGGTAGCATCACAATGAAATTAATATATATCTTTTTGCCTTTGGACATTGCAAAAAGATGTATCTTAATGAAGCATAATGTTTAATGCATTTCCAACAACAGAATGATGTACTTTTTTTCCTACTTAGTAATGGAAGCTTTTGAAAATTCCAGAACATTTCTTCTCTGGACCATGTCAATTCCAGTCATACTTTGTAAGGATTCTAGTAGTTAAGCTTTCAAATGAACTACTCAATGGTTTGAAATGTTCAAAACATGATATTATGGATGAAAAAGGTGTCAGGGTTCCCAGTAACCTGCAGCAAAAGAAGACTCTGGGGCTTGAGTTTCCTCAAAGTTCCATTTTATTAGAGATGTCATATTGGCACATCTGGGAAAACCCGAATCTGAAAGTTTTCAGATTTTTCCCATCCAAAAGAAAGTTCCTGCCCAGCACCCACAAGTCCATCACATGATCCAATCAGGTACCATCCCAAACTGTAGATGCCTCCCAGTCACCTCATCGCAGCTGCAGGGCAAGGTGTCCTTGACTCTCTGACAAAAGAATGTTATTTTGACTATATATCACCCATACTCTGTATAATCCCTCTTCCCATTTTCCCACAGTAGAAAATGTGGCAGGCCTGAAGGCCCAAATGTAAAAGATGGCTTCCAGGTTTGACAATAGACCTGTGTAAGGTCAGACCCCAGCTGGAATATCATGGGTTATTTCTAATAAAGAAGACTTAGTTGTACAAAATCTTCCCTAGAATCTCAGATTTTTATTGGATAGAGAAGAAACAAAAGTTCTAGAGTAACAGAATGTTCCAGATAGCTGAGTTCAAAGGGAAAAGATCAGACCAGCCACAATACAAACTTAGAATAGGTTTGTGAAGCTCTAGTCCTCATCTAGTCCATCTGCTGACATCTCCTGGCTTTGTATTTAATCATGGTAAATTATTTAGATCTAAGGATACCTATCCTGATCAATAACATCCTATAGCATAATAAAGCCAACTTGCATTTTTCCAAAATGAAGCATTAAATTATTTGCGAAAATAAAATTATTTTAAAAAACATTAAATGTGGATCAGTTATTCATCTAGCAAATGAAAGCTTATAACCGCATTCCAGGATTTTATTCTTCAGATATTTAACTAAGCGGGTAACCCTTTCACAATTTTATTGCATGGTACTGTTATGCCTTAGTACATATTTTCAGGGTTTTTTGTTTTTTTACTTCAACTGTTTTTGGCATGTATTTGGGAATGCAAAACACCAATTGGTTCAAAATGTTTCATTATACGGCTGATTCCTCGGCACATGTTTGAGCCATTCTTTGTCTGTTTTGCTCGTTCGCCAATGCCCGTTCTTCCTCAGTTTGATTTGCAATTACTCATCGCACTGTTTCCGCTCCGCGAGTACGACAACCTAAGTTTGATTTTCTGCCAGGCATTATTTGGATGAAGTATAGCAGAATGATTGCACTGAAAAAGAAAGAAAGTTATAACAAAAAAATATATAAAATTGCAAAACATTAAAAAAGCAAAAACCTGAACTGAAAAACAAAGGAAAAAATATGGTAAATGACACAGTTGAATTCCAACACAATGTCACATGAAATAATTAAATTAAGGGAAATCTATGAAAAATCAATATAAAAATGCAATGGGAAACATTGAAATGGAATCGTAAAATATTTAGTATAGCGTATGTTGCTTTTATGTCCACAAGTTGGTGCTGGTTTTCAAAAAAGCATGTTTTTTACAAAAAAGCATGTTTTTACCTGTCACAGGTGTGACATGTATATAATATACATATATAAAAACATTCGCGTATTCGAATACAATGTTGTCTCAAAATTTCAAAGCGATCGGTGAAGAACTTTTGGGGATTTGCGATTTTGAACAAACAACCATTACATTTTTATTTATATAGATTTATGCATGAATGTACCAGTGGTGAGTTTCTTTTTTCTTTTTACTATCAGTTTGCTCGTGCACACAAAGCACTTCTGTGCATGTGCAGAAACATCTGGTAGGGTGGGAAATATTTTCATCCCACCCTTCAATCACAAGCACTCGGCTTTTTCTCTTATATACAGGAGTCCCAAACTCTGATGGCCCTCCCTTGCTTTCCCTGTTCTGTTGGCAACAGCTTGGAGGAGCTAGCAACAGGCAGGGGTGCGGCTAGAGGCCAAACAAAGAAATGTGATTCAGCTATTGCCCAAGGGTGAAACCTCCCCCGCTCCTTCACACAGACACATATGTGCATACAAATATTTCCCATGGTTTCCATGTTTTAAAATTTAGAGAATTAAAATTTAGAGGTACTCAACTTCATTCCAAGCAGCCTTTGAGCTCAAAACACTAAACCCCTTTTAAACCTAATTCCAAATGGCGAAGGTCCAGGAAAAATCCACCCACAGACTCAATGGGGTCTGTGCCAGCAAGGGAGGCTTACCTGGGCCATATCCATTGGTTAGGTTAGCTTGAAGTCCCATCTGGGGTGCCAAATGTTTGGAAGAAATGTCCATCTGGGTTCAGCTCCAAGTGGGGAAAAAGACACTGGATTCATGGAAATTGCTTGGAAAGAAGGTTTTAATGGTGGACAGGACTACATGGTTTGAGATCCTGGGGAAGAAGACGATCACATGCCTTGGGTGAAGAAGAGAAAAAAAGACAAAGATGCTCAGAGTGCCCTGGTTTTATGCCATCTCTGGGCCCCACCCCAGAGCTTCCCATTCCTGTGTAGGAAATGCATTCTGATTGGTGGTCAGACTTCCAAGGGGCAGTGCAGGGGCAAATCTGTAGGCTGTCTGAAGGGGGCAGATCTTTGTTATGTAGAATAGACCGACTCAGTCCTTAATAGCTCATCCACAAAGGTGGGGGTGGTGGAGTTTCTGCCTCTCTTGAGTTTCTATTTCTCTTTTTTGGAGAAATAGTCTGCCTTTTTAATATTTCCTAAAATGTTTCATTTCTCTAGGAGAGGGGTGGGTTTTAACTTCCAATAATAGATTATGGCAGCACCATTAGATTTGGCAAGATTGGCCTTTCATATGGATTTGGACACTGAAATCTTCCAAGGTGCTTTAACACTTATTCTCTATCAACATAAATGTTTCTTTTTTTTAACTTAAAGATTCATCTGATTAAATTAAGATTGCTTTGCCCAAATATTCTAACAGCATTTATTTAATTGATTGTTTCCAAATATCAGGATTAATTGGGAGGTTTGAAAGAGGTTTGAAAGCCTCCCCGAGTTTTTGATTAATCTGAGTATGGCTGAGAGTTGGCTCAGCATATACATAGTATCTCCAGTGCTCAGGTGTTTACATGTACTCAGATGAAGAAGTTAAGCTGGAGTGTACTGAGTAAACTTTGAGCATCTTTTCTTGTGTCCTATATGAGTTTCCTAGCTTTGGAGAGCTTTTTGTAGCTAACCTTGCTAGAAAACTACCAGATAGTTTTAATGATTCTTACATTCTGCTTCTGGTGTTCTATAAGATTAGATAAGCCAAATATAACTACCTAGTAAACATATGCACACATAATTTAAAAAGTTGCCATCTTTGCACTAACAATCAATAAAAACAACATTCTTTACTACATCTTCAAGATGGATGATAAAAATAAAAGGAATTTCCAGAATTAAAATTAGCAAACTAGCACACATAGGTAATTCCATAACAAACAAAACTTTCTATAGTTCTTTTAAAGAATATTTTTAATTAAATAACTTTACAACTGAAAATCAGAACACATTTCTGTTAGGAATATAATCTAACGGTTGGGTTGGCAATATATAAAGCATGTAACAATGCTACGTGACCCGACAAAAGGGCGAACGACAAAACCGCGCCCGACTAAACCACGTCACTAAAACTGTGACGTCATCAACACGGCGACAACAGCACGGTGACAACAGCGCAGAGACAGAAGGGCACTTTACAACAGCGCATTGACAGAAAGCTGATTTAACTTAAGGATTAGGTTTAGGGTTAGGTTCAGGGTTAGATTCAGGGTTAGGTTCAGGGTTAGATTCAGGGTTAGGTTCAGGGTTAGA